TATATTATTGTTTATTCTCTGGACATGTTCCAGAGATACATGTTCATGTGGCAGGGGTTGTGGTGGTAGATAAAAATGAATGTTTACCTTCCTGAAGTGGCTTCAGAGATATTAGGGGCTTGGTTTCTTTTTTGTTTGGTTTTGTTTTTGGAGACAGGGTTTCTCTGTCTGACAGTCCTGGAACTCACTATGTAGACCAGGCTGACCTCGAACTTACAGAGATCTGCCTGCCTCTGCCTCCCGAGTGCTGGGATTAAGTGTTCGTCATCATCGGGCAGGGATTGCCTTCTTATGTAGTAAGAACCATGTGAATATTGTCTTATGAGTACAGCACCAAATATCAAATTTATATTGAAACTTTAATTGAAAAACTAGCCTGGCAGTGGTGGCACACACCTTTAATCCCAGCACTCGGGAGGCAGATTCAGGCAGAGCTCTGTGAGTTTGAGGCCAGCATGGTCTACAGAGCGAGTTCCAGGACAGGCTCCAAAGCCACAGAGAAACCCTGTCTTGAAAAACCAAAGCCAAACAAACAAATGAAAAAACAAAAATTATTCAAGGCAGAGGTTTTCCCAGCCGCTAGCCACAATAGTTCTTAAAACTTTCAAAGTAATTCTAATATTCAGGTAAGTTACTTAAATGGCTGTGAGTGGTGGTGCCAACTTTAATCTCAGCTGAGGCAGGTGGATCTATGAGTTTGAGGCCAGCCTGGGCCAACATACATACAAGACAGCCAGGGCTACATAGAGAGACCCTGTCGGATCATCCCCTGCCCCAAAAGAAGTGATTTGAGGGGGCTAGACTTATAGGCATAATATATATGTGTGTGTGTATATATATGTATATATATATATATATATACATATATATACACATTTATATACATATACATACATATTTATATATTTTTTTAAGTTTAAACTGGGTATGGTGGTGGACAACTGTAATAACCAGGCTGAGATGGGGAGAATTTGTCTGAACAGGCCTGGGATGTTTAGCCTGGCCCCGCCCCTTCCTCCCCTACTGACTTTGAGTTTAAAGGCACAGTAACATTCTAATTTCCAGTAATGGTAGACTCTTTTCTAGGCTAATGACAGTCAAGGTCACAATTACAAACTGGGAACAAAATATTTAACAAATAAAGAGCTAATTGAATCAGGCATGGTGGCACAAGCCTGTAATCCTAGCCTTGGACGTGGGGCAGTGAACTTAGTGAGTTGGGAGACCAGCTTGAGCTATATTAGGCTGTCTCGATCTCCGTCCTCAAAAAAAGCCATGAAAATGTGTGCAAAACTGGACAGAAACTGGAAAACGGTCTCAAGTGAGAGAAGGTAGTTTAAAGATGTGTTCCCAGTGCAACCTCATTCTTCACACACCCAGCGATGGCTGAACTCTGCAGCCCTTGTGGCTTAAGGTGTCCAGAAAGAGGCTGGAGTGTTCCATGGCTCAGGGGTTGCTCTCCAGAGGACCAGGGTTCATCCAGAACCAACATACATACATGCAGCAAAACACTCTGGGAGATGAAGTAAGTAAATTTGAAAACATATTTTTTTAAGGATGTCATGGAAAGACTTGGGGGTGGACAAAGTAGAAAGGTTAGGAAGGTTTGGGCAAGTCTCAGCCTGTGCCTGGAGAGCACGTCTCTTGGGCCCACTGCACAATAGTGAAAGAGCAGGTTCAGACTCAGCTGCTACTGAGCAGGACAGTTAGTCCAACCAGAACTGCCTGAAGACAAAATCTAACTCTTCAGAGGATTGTCATACAACTGACTTTTTCCTCATGCCCAATCCGCAATGCCAGTGTATAGCTAGAAAAACAAAACAAAACAAAGCAAAAACCCAAAAGCACTGGCCCCCAAAGTTGACCTCTCATTGAAGTAAAAGGCTACCAACAGCGGCTTAGCCTGTTATGACACATTACAATTGGCGCTCACGAGGGACTGGGTAAAGTGTTTGCCATGCGAGTGTGAGAACAAGTTCAGAACCCCAGCACCCACCTCAGTGGGCAGAGCAACCCACCTGTGATCCAAGCACTCCGTCTTGGTGATCCCCAGGGTGAGGCTCCAGGTCAGGAGGAAACCCTGCTCAGTAAATAAAATGGACAGTGACAGAGAAATAGCTTACACCGAAATAATATACAATCAACAAGTCAATCATCACAATAGACTAGAAATGACTTTTCAAAAAGAGTAAAGGTGGGTGTGGTGGTGTGCTCTTTCAATGCTAGCACTCGGAACACAAAAGCAGAGGGTCACTTAAGATTCTGGGCCAGCCTGGTCTACAAGGTAAGACCTCGCCTTAAAGCATCAAGATCACATGCTTGGAGTCTGGGGTATAGCTCCATGGTAAAGAGATAAGTACTAGCAGAACAGGGGTGAGGCCTGGGGCGAATGGAAACCCATATATAAAAACTTCGAATGACTTGAGATAGACCCAACAGCAATGGAAGACAAAGAGTAAGCTGAAAATTAGGTGAATTACTGAATTTGAAAAAAAAAAAAAAAAAAAGGTGAATATATAAACCTTATAAACATATAAGGCAATCTCAGGTGATCTAATGTAAGTTTATTGGCATTTTAGGAGAGAAGGAAATAGGAAATGTATTTAAAAAAAAAAAAAAAATCAATGGCCAGCCAAGGCTACACAGAGAAATCCTGTCTCGAAAAACAAAACAGAACAAAATCAACAAAAAGCTAATGGCTAAAAATTCCCTGGTTTTACTTACACATCTAAGATGTTCAATGAATCCCAAGACCATACAAAGCAAAGCAAGCAAAGGTGAATAAAAATAAAAGAAAACCTCACCTGGTCATATCAAGGTTCAGCTGCTGAAATTCCAAAATAGCACAGCCAAGGAAATACACTCCACGTAAGGGAAAGACAAAAGAAGTAACAGCCGGTGTCTCCTCTGGAGCAATGGGGACACCTAAAAGTCTCCATCAGTGAAAGTAAACTTCCAAGACAAAAGTAAAATGAAGTTCAATAAAAAGATAAAAAACATTCTCTCCAGGAGGGCACTGAGAATTCAACTAAGGTTACCTAGGTTTGTCTTCCCATTGAACTATTTCATACCAGACACCTGTGGGAGTTTTCTCCATTAGGAGGGACAACAGAGAAGTCACTTGAATCTACAGGAAAGAGTGGAAGGCACTGGAAATGCTAAACCAGTATTATTATTATTATTATTATTATTATTATTGTCTCCCAGAGCCCATGTTTTGTTTTGTCATTTATTTTGCAGCCCTGGATGGTTTGATACTCACAGTGATCCCTCTGCCTCCCTAGTGCCAGGACTAAAGGCATACTCTACCAAGCCAGACCAAGCATACAGATGCTTGTCTTTTGTCACAGACACAAGAAAGCAAAGCAGGAGATTAGGTGAACAGAATTTACTAGAGACTTCAATAAACTAAAGACGCATGTTGTAATCCCTACAATAACCATCCAAATTAGCAGTACATCTGGGTGCTGTGGTGAATGCCTTTGACTCCAAAACTTGAGAGACAGAGGCAGGTAGAGTTCAAGGCCAGCCTGATCTACTTAGTGAGACTATCTCTAAAAAAACACACCACAAATAAACTAACAGTAGCTGGGTGTTGGTGGCACAGGCCTTCAGTCCCAGCACTCAGGAGGCAGAGGCAGGTGGCTCTCTGTGAGTTCAAGGCCAGCCTGGTCTACAGGGAGATTTCCAGGACAGGTTCCAAAGCTACGGAGAAACCCTGACTGGAGATATGGAAGCTTGTGAGTGACGTTTCAACATAATGGCTTATATTCACTCTAATAATGTCTGCTACTGTGAAACTAAGATCTGTAAAGAAGCTCAAATGAGGAAAACTGCATAAACCATGGGCTTCAGGTCTCATTGACTCTTAACCCTATTACCTTTTTTTGGGGAGGAATGGGGGTAGGACCTTGCACATTCCTTAGGCTTGAGTTAACTCCCTCCCCAGCTTTATAATCTGGGTTCTTCTCACTGTCCTTTAACACCTTAATGTGGGTAGGCGTTGCACTTAAAGCAAAGTTAGTGACCTTTGACCTAGCTTTAGCCACCATCATTGCCTTTGTACTATGGTCAGGGAACCATCTGACAGAACTGGCCTAAAGGCGTTTCCTTGGTTTTGTTACACTGTCAGATTTTCTGTCTCACTTACAAAGACATTTTCTGAATGTATCTTTTCCTGTAGCAGCCACTTTCACATTTAGGTAAGGTAACTGTGAGAATTTGCTACTGCCTGAAAAGCACTGTCTAGAAGCTGTGATTACGCTCCAACTGTGGACAATTCATGCCATGGGACACAGGACAGGGCTCTAACAACAGAGGACTTTCACATTAGGCATGACTTCCTAAGAATGGTTCTGTGGCATGTGACAGGCAAAAGGAACACAACCAATTCCCTTCTGGCCAACCAGGCTTTGTAAGTAATTTCCTATCCCAACAAACTCTACTTGTACATGGCATCATTTTTTTCAAACTCAGAAAGTTCAATAAACTCAGAAAATCATCCTAGATGGTGCTTTCCTGGGTTCTGGAAGAAGCTTTAAAGGAGTGTCAAAGGTGATTTCTCTACAAATAAGCAGTGCACTCAAATGCAAAAGCCTGTACCACCTGTAACACCAGAACAAATATTAGAAAGACACGAAAATTGCTTATACCATTTACTTGTGAATAATTAAGCAAGGACCAGTTGCTTGAAGCTTTTCGTTTAACATGGTCCTGTCTGAAATATGTAGCCTCTCACTATTGATTTAATAATGGGCTAACAAAATGCTGCTACATCATTGCATTCATCTCTGAGCAAGACTGAAGGGGCCAGCTCCCCCTGCAATCAGGAGTAAATATCACACATCCTGTTTATGCACACTGGTCTGTTGTCCACAGCTCTTTAAAAAAGCAGTGACACACGCCCCTAAGTCATACTACTCCCTGCCCCCAACTTCCTGCTCATATATTCCTACTGGGCTCTTAGTGCTTCCTTCAAGAAAAAATACTCGTCATTGCAATTATCTTTTAAAGAAAATACTTTATTACATCATGAAAAAAGATATCCAACAACTAGATTCATACTTGCTTGGAAAAAAAAAAAAACACAAAGTTTATTCATTAGACTGTATGTGGGCACCCTGTTCCACATGGAAATAGAAAGACACTATGACTTCTAAGTATTGCACAGTCTGAAAAAAAAAACAAACAAAAAACCAACATCAAAAAGGGTATATGTGTGTGTGCGTGTGTGCATGTATGGGGAACAGATCACATGATATTGGGAACCATCTCACATTATGAAAAATCTACCAAGAAACATTTAAAAAGAGAACCCTTTGTTTCTACAGTAGCTTTAGTTTGTAGTTCTTGGAATGACTGTATTCCATTGAAGACATCTTAGTAACAGGAAGCTTCAATTGAGCAATCCCATGTGCAAATATTAATAGAAAAAAATATAAAATAATGCATCTCTTGCCATCACCCTGACAACCAGGACCATGTTTGGAGAACTGTCTTGTCTGGAAAAGGGTTAAGCTGTGAGTTTTGCCTGAAGCTCCATCTCTGCAGCCCGTTTGAGTGCAACATCCACTAGAAGCTGGAATCCGCTAAAATCCTGGTTGAGGTCTGGCGGAGTAGGGGGCGGAGTGTTGAAAAGACCACTCTGAGGGTTTGGACTCGGTCCAGATTTGCAAGCGTCCTCTGGGTACATGAGAGAGGTATCTGTAAAGTTGCCGGCTGTTATCTGCTGTACATCTGTGCTCTGTCCCACACCAACCGGCTGGCAGAGAGAGAAAGGCCCATCTTTCAATGCAGTCACAGTGGTATGGCAGATCACTGATGGGCGAGCCAAAATGGATCCCGGGCAGGAAGGCTTGGGAGACACTGGCCTCCCTAGGGTAGAGTTGGGTCCAGCTGTGCAGGAATGAAACGGGCTCTCTTCTAGAGCTGGCATGAAGTTTTTGATACCCATCGCAGCTTCCACAGAGCTAGCTTCAGAAATTTTGGCCCCACGGCGGGAAATCGTGAACTGATTTGGATCTTTGCCATCCTTTCTCAGCATGTCAGGGAGGAGCCTGCGGCGGGCGTTGATGAACCAGTTACAGACCTGAAATCACAGAGACCTGCTTCAACGCTTTCTCCACGCACTTGACAAACAGGTTCTGAAAACATCCAATGCTGGGTGCCTAACTGACCTCTCTCTCTTTAGTAAAGGAGGCGGAGGAGGGCTTATGCATTTAAGCCATGTCAGCCTATCCGCCATAAGTACAAATTTGCTTTGAATGTGTCATCCATAGCCCTTTCATGAACAGGGACAAGCTATAAGATCTCAAACTTGAAAATAACTTCAAGGAAGGCTCACCTTTAAGTGTGTTTCAACCTACTACCTACTGCCCTAGCATTTGAGTTAATCAACTACAGAAAAGCTTTTCCTGTATAAAAGGAGGCCACACCCCCCAGTAACTGATTTCCCTCAGTTCAAATGACTGTGTCAACAGACATAACACGAATTACCTCATGAGTCTGTCCTTGTTTAAATATCAAACCAGTTTCCTGGGTAATAGAGTAAGGTTTAACCTCCTTTTCAATACACATAGGCTCTTTCAGCCATTGAAGGAAATGTTTCCTGACAGATGAGTGTCAAGTGTTTCTGTCCTCTATAAATAGCTAATTATTAGTTTTTCACACTGTAAAGTCTAACATGGGAAGATCCTGTTTCTCTCTCTCTCTGGATGGGAGGACTAGGGAGAAGCTTAATGACATGACACACAGGGATGCTATGAAGTATCTAATGGTTAAGAATAAACGTTATGCTCAGGCTGGGGCACAGCTTGGTGGTGGAGGCCCAGCACCACAGCCGCGGGGGTGACCTTTAGCTCCCCACTTACCTGCAGTGTTGACAGGTGTGTCTGCTGGGACAGCACTGCCTTCTCTTGCTCTGAGGGATACGCATTGTATCTGTGCTCATACAGCCAGTCCCGCAGGATCTGAACAGACTCCTTGGGGAGGTTGCCTCTCCTCCTTCTCTTGGCAGAGGTGGCTGAAGAGGAAAGGTCCAGTGGAGTGTCCATGCTGTCCTCATCTTCAGTATCACTGCCGGATGCCGTGACAATGCCTGGGGAGGACAAGGCCCACTGTCACTCAGCTGTATTAGCAGGGTGACCATCTCAAAGCTCTGTTGCTTATACTAACCCATGTCCTCCCTGTGTTTTCTCAACTACTGAGTGTGATGTTCTTTAGTCTGGGCTAGGGTTTCCATAGAAAGGCCTGGAGGTGGGAGGTGTAGTCAGACTGTCACCGCCAACGGACCAGACATTCAACCAATTAACTGCCAGAATCCTTCCTGTGGCAAATTGAGATATAATTTAAAAAAAAAAATGATGCTTAGAAAAGACAAAGTGCACTAGAAGGGAGTAAGTCATCACAAGAAGGGTGCTGGGCAGTGTAGGAATGTGCTTACAATCTTGTCTTTAAGGTCATTGCTAACTAGAGACAATACTTCAGTGAATACATACATTTTAAATGCTTTCCTCCCTTCATGAAAGGTTTGCTATGAACCTAGAATGCTACCCTACCCATCAGTCTTTAAGTCTTACATGACAAAGAAAATTGAATATGCAACCCACAAAGGAAATCACTTTGCTGGTAAATACTTTAATCCTACCAGAAATGTTAAGAATTCCCAAACCCTACAGAGTATTTAAATCAATGTTCAGTGAAAATTCAGGACAGTTTAACTTTTACAGACATTTTATCATTTTGAACTTTAAAATGTTTTATCTAACAAATGCTATTAATGCCTTTCAAATCTAAAAGTCAGGCAATGTAGACTTTATAACCTATGAAACTCCGTGTTTGAGGGTGAAGTTTTCAAAGCTTTTTAAGCTTTGTGTAGCTTTTTAGTCCGTCTTAATTGAATCTGTTTGCTGTTCTAGGAAATAAAAACAGAATAGTCTTCACAGTGACACATCATCGACTCCATGAATTTTAAAGGAATTTATTTTACAACCAGCAGACTGACTTTGTTGACACATTTTTAGCTTTGGACTGCAGGGGGCAGAAGGTGCTGGAAGGCATTCCTACAGGAAAAGCCCACATCCAAAGACAAAGTAAAGCAAGTTCTAACAAAAGAGGCAGATGATTTTGCAAATTCACTGTAGCTTAAGGCTTAACAATAAACTGCCATAATAAGCCACAGGAACCATCCATATTTAACTGCCACACAACTGCTCCCTCCTGAAGATGCAGTTAATGTTTCAAGAAAGAAAAAAAAAAGTCTAAAGAAATGGCGATTCTAAAACCGAAAGTATTTTCACTATACAGAATCTGAGAAATTTTTAAAAGTCCCATATTAAAATTTGGGTGAAGAAACATTTTTTAAAAAGTCACCTTCCATTATAAATGAGTTCCTGTTTCACATTGCTTTGATAACCAAGGAAACCTCACTTTTAAACACGTTAGGTTAATTGGATAGCTGAGAGCATTTGAATAAAGCAATTTGCTTCAATCTCCACCCCCAACTTCTGAAAAGTCAAGACACTCCATACCCTGCCCCCTCTTTTTAAATCTAGGAGGGGAAACGTGTGAAAGTTTGCTCATTGAACAGCCAATTCCCAACTGTAAATTGGCAATAACAAAGTGCTTGAAACAAAAACCGGCTAAAGCCTGCCCTTTGATCTGATCACTCGAGTTTGACAAGAAGCATGCTCTTTCAGAATAGGTTTAGGGACACAAATCAAGTTTCAGTTGAGCAACACCAAACAGCAGCCTCTTCATTTGAGAAAGAAAAGAAAGAATGAAGAAAGGAAGAAAAAGAGAAAAGGAAGGAAGAGACTAGACACAGACAGACAGACAGGCCAGGCCTTCTTTACAAGTATTTCCAAAGCATGCATAAAGGCTGAAGGAACAGGAAGTTAAGACTTGGTGCCTTGGGCGAGCCAGCTGATATGTTCAGCCCTGCTAGACCACGTTTGCTACTGTCAGGGCTGTTTTCATTAAAATTCCCTCCCGGATTGTGGCTCGACTTGGAAAAACAAAGGCTTTTTTCCTTGTTACTCATTTCCTACTGTAACAGACCTTTTGAAAAGTTTCCCGGTCAGGACTTGTTTCCAATAGTCTCGCTTTGCTTACACGTTGGAAAAAAAAAAAAAATCAGTCGGGGAGGGAGCGAGGAGGGTGTGGGGCAGAATCACCAGTCTCTTATTCTACCCACATACAAGGAAAGGTTCAGAGAGCCACAAGATGGCCTGCGGGACCCCAAGGCTCTAGGAAGCGAAGCTTGCTTCACTTTCTTTTTCTGAAGCTCCGAAACACCGGAGTTGGGGGTGGGAGAGCCTGCATTTTAAAGATCTAATGGAGACTGGAAAAAGAATGTGAGGAAAAGATCAAAGGGAAGACTTAAGAAACAAACTTAACAAGTCTCCCTTTGGACAAGCGACTCGGATGGAACTTCACACCCAAATCACTAAAGCCACAGCTCCGCTCAGCTGTAAACTGATTCAACAGGCTTGCAGACCCCGCCAGGACCCTCGGGATTCTCCTAGTCGAACCTTCTTCCAGCCTGTCCCAAAGCCATTTTTTGGAGCTCTTTCTGGCCACCTTGGCTTTCTGCGAAGGCACTTTATTATCAGACCAGTCTTTGTTCTAAGTGTTCAGAGTTTCCTAAAACAGACAATAGGCGGGGCAGGTTTAAGCAGTCCTGGCCCAAGGACAGGGAAGCTCCCCCCCCAGGTAGTCTGGGGGGGGGGCTGAGGAGGATCGCAGGAGAGGGAGGGGCCTGACGACGAGAGCAAGCAGCTTTTGTTCTTGGGAGTTCTTTAGCCCCTACTGTACAAGTTAGCAACCTAACTGGACCGTGTCCCTAAGGAGCTCGAAGTGGGGCGGTGCGGCTCACTGCCAAAGGGTCTGCCCCCATCCAGGCCTAAAAAGGCAAAGGATCCCGGGCCGCCTCGGTTCTCTCCGCACCAGAAGCCCTGAAGCGGCCAGCCGCGCAGAGTTTCCCCTCCAACACATCTCCGCTCATTGTTTCCACGAGCTGGGGACCTCTGATGTTTTCCCCAGAACTTGCATCTGGGGAAGGGGACACCCAAGGTGGGTGGTAACTGAGAAAGAGGCTGCTTATAGTCATCACACACACACACACACACACACACACACACACACACACACACACACACACACACGGAAACCCAGCTTTGCATTCCGCATCCGAGAACCACTCAAAACCAAACACCCCCAACGTAGGTGCCACTGGACCAGGACGCCTCACACCGGGTCTACATCTGTGAGTCTTGTCAAAGAGTGACACGCTGACACGCTCTGCAGAGGTTCCCCAACCCTACCCCAAGCCTCCCCAGAACTGTTAAAACATTTCCCAACCAAGCGCCCAGGCTCTCTTCTCTCCCCGGACGGAGAAGGGCAAGGACGCCCACTTAACCAAGTACCCGCGGTCTTCATGAGTTCCGTATGTTTCAGGGTTTCTTACTGAACTATACTGGCACAACTCATCAGGTAGAGAGAGGGGAGGAACCCCAGGGAGTGTGTGTGCGCGCCCCGCGGCGGCCGCCGTAACCGTGTTCCGTTGGAACTGCAGCCGCGGTCTGGGTCTGAAAGAATGTGGAGTAGCAAAACTCGAGGAAGCTCTCGGGCATGCGCAGCAGCGCCCCCACCCCCCAGCTTCCCCCAAGCCATTAACTTCTGTTTTGAACACTCCACATAAATCACAACAGAAAAGCCAACTCTAGTCCACGACTGAACACTTGAGGGGCCTCCCGGTCAGGGACTCCAAAGTTAGCTTCAAAAGGGACTTCACAGACTTTTGACCTTTCGCGATTTTCCCCCCCTCTCCCCTGTGTATTTTGTTTTTGAACCAGACTGACGGCAAGTTTTAGTTGTAAAGCTTGGTGGAAACAATGACAGTCGTACTCTCTGGACTCACAGCCAAGCCTGCTTGTCACACTTGGGACACATTTTGACTGCATGGGACTGGTGTTCTAACAGCTCGTGCTCTCCTAAATTCATCGTGGGAAAACTTTTAGAAAATAGTAATTTTAAAAGTCCAAGTCCAGCTTTCCAAAGCTATGCTCGCCCTCAGACGATGTGTGGGCCCGGAATCACATTCCTTTGATAGTGGGGGGAAAAATCAACAACAACAACAAAAAAAAAACCTCACCACATCCCTAAAAACAGTATTAGGGTCTGATGACGGACGAGAGCACCGGAACCGAACTTTTAGACAAAAGGCCAGGCTACTGGAATGCGCCAGCGACCCCCCCCCCCCCGCCGCAAAGGGAAAAGCGAAGTGTGAGTCCCTGAAACACCCACCCCACTCCCCTGTCCCACAAACAACACTGGGAACCACGCGGTGGCTGGGCTGAGCATGGAGTGTCAGGGAAGACAATGAAACTTGGAGGCGCACAAACAAGGCGCTGAGCGTGTTTCTTGACAACGTGCCAGCAGCGTGGTGAGGCTGTCTCCCCACAACAGCCCCTCGTGTTGTGTCTAGGAGGAAAAGAACAGCAACTGCCATTTGAGACACAGCCTCAACAAAGAGAACGGCCACCTCTTCAGCCCGGATGCCACCGAGCGAGCGGAAAAGTCCACCAAGTCAGTGTCCCGCGACCCGGCGCGGACCGCACATGTCCCGCACTGGTGCCCCGGGTGCGCACAGCCCGCCGCAGCCTTACCCTTTTTGCTTTTCATTCTGGAATTGCCGTCCCAGTGAGCCCAGTGAGAGGTGAAGCTGGGGTTTCTAGGGACCAGCAGTCGGAGTGGCGGGGGGCGGGCGATGATCCTCCTTTACTGGCGCTCCGGGAACTTTGGGGAGAATATTCCAGCCACTGTTGCTAAACAAGGTGCTTGGGTCCCAAGGGCTGGCTCCTGGGTTGGAATTCAAGTGACACTTGGGCTTCCTCCAGCCAGGGTCTTCTGGCGGCCAGCCGGGGGCTCTCCCTGGCCCAGCTCACTCCCCTCCCAACTCAGCTCCTTTGTTTCCCGCTCCACACCGCGCACCTCGGCGCTGTCAGAGTGAGAGAGCAGAGGGAAGGTACAGGAGGTCCTGCCTCCGCCCCCAGCAGCCCGCCCCGTCCCCCGCCCGCCCAGCCGCTCCTCTGCCCCTCCCCCCGCACCTTCCAGCTCAACAGCCCTGGTCCGGGGGGCCGCGGTCACCGGTCCCTCTGGGGTGGCGGAGCCCAGAAACAGCGTCGTGCCTGCCTGCCTGCCTGTGGGGCTAGTACGGTCCGCGTCCCTCAGGCCTCGGCGGCCACACCGGTTTGTTCTTAGGGGCCTTTCCTCCAGGGCGAGGGGTGCATTCAGTTTGCAACAGATGGGGAGAGAGGGTTAAGGACACCTCTTCCCCGCATGAGCCCTGTCCACCCCAGACAAGAAAAGAAACCCCCACCCTTGTTTTTGACAGCTGCCCCAAACTCCACTTGTCCCCGCTCCAGCCACGAGAGGCAGCGGTTTGACTCAAGGGGTGGGGCGCCGGAGCCGGAGGAAAAGTATTCCGGACAAGAACCAACTTCTTCCAGAAGGCGCAGCTGCCATTGACACGAGGGCGCGGCACCGCGCGGCGCGGCGCACCCTTCTCCTAGTGGACTCTTCCTGACAGTGGGGTGTGTGTGTGTGTGTGTGTGTGTGTGTGTGTGTGTGTGTGTGTGTGTGTGTGTGTGTGTGTAGGGGATGAGACACAGACATAGGCACCCTAGAATGTCTGTTCCCCCGGGCTCTGAGTTCCGGATTGGATTGCAAGGCACTTTCGAAATCTAACACGTTGCGGATAGACACTTGTCATGCTCACATGTTCTTCAAACGACTCAGCTTGGGAATGACCGGGGCCAGTGTGCGCCCCGCTGCGCCGCCCCCTGCCGACCCCGACAAAGAGGGGTGACCACGCAGGGGCTGCTGGTCCGTTTGGGTAAACAGTGTCTACTTTGTGGGCTGCAGTGTCTGTCCACCAAGAGAATAAGCCCCTCCACCCTTCAGTATTTCAAACAGAAACTGGCCATTAATTACACACTCGTTCCTATTGGTTTATTTTGCTTGAGAGGGGAGCGCCGGTAGGAGTTCCACGATGAATACCCCCCCCCCCAAATACAACCCAGATGCTGACTTCAAGACTCGAATGCCCACACTTCTGGGTTTAGTTTTCACCTATGCCGGATTGTTTAAAAAAAAAAAAAAAGCAAACCAACTGTCACATGTCACAGAAGACTTTCCCCTTTACCTAAAAAAAGAAGAAAAACCCCAAACGTAAATAAGCCGAGCAGCGACGTCAGCGCCGGTGGCTGTCTCCAGTTTCGGCTCTGTGGCTGTTCTGGTTTTGTGACCTCGGTGGAGATCCGGCAGGAGGAGACATCCCGGTGAAAGCAAGGTTAAAGCCGAGTCACATTTAAGGCGGCCACAGGATGACCCGCTAGACTTTGGAGTCTGTTTACGATTACGTTGGAAATTAAGGCGAGCCTCCGCCGCGCCCCCTTCCCAAAGACAACCCCTCTGCGGAGCGCGTTAAAAAAAACCCAGAGTTGAAGAAGCTTGGGTGTTTTTTCCAAAGCGAGCGAGCCGCGGGGAAGCGTCACTGTGAGGCAGGAACCCTAAAACCACCCCCACTCCCACCACCACCACCCCCATCCCCTCCCCGCGCGCGAGCGCGCGCGCCCTGGTGGCTTGCAGAGAGCACACGCGGAAATCAGCGCCGGAGGCGGTTGGAGGACGGTGTCCGGGGAGAACCCACCGGCTGGCAAGGCCCCTCTGCCAACTGCCCCGGGACGCAGCGCTTTCCGGGACCTGGCAGGCGGTGACTCAGCAGCTGCTGCGCCCGCCCGGGTGCGGGACTGATGTGTTGCGGGGAGGGGGCCGCGGGCCCCGGGCCGGCCGCTCGTTGGAGGGCCGCCTCTCTCCGGGTTTTGAAGGGTTGTTTGTGGCTGGGATTGGTGGCTCACATCCGCTGGGGAGCCTGGAGAGGAGGGAGGAGGAGGAGGAGGGGCTGGGCCGGGTGAGTGGCAGGAGTCCCGGCCCGGCTCGCCTGTGCCTGCCTAGTAGCTTTGTTTGCTAACTCGGGACAGTGGCTTCGGGGCCACTCCGCGGAACCCGCCTCGGGTCGGCTACTCCCAGCTGCGGCAGCGCGCGGCAGAAACGTTCCTTCCCGGCGGTTTGCCACGCGGTGGCCCTCATGTCCACAAAGGTAGCTTTTTTTGTTTTATTTTTTTGTGGGTTTTTTTGGTTTGTTTGTTTGGTTTTGGTTTTGTCTCTCTCTCTCTGCTTCAAGTCAGCCCGGCTCACGGATGCGATTCGCGGGCGACAGAGATGGAAACCCGGGTTTACGGTTTGAAAACAAACTTGACAGGGCTCAGCGGGAGGGGTAGAGAGGAGTAGAAGCCTCCTTCAAACGGGGAGGGGAGGGGTGGGGAGGGGGAAAACGCAGAATACAACTCACCGTGACGCGAAGGCCAGCTGGACCCCGCCAAGGCACGCCGTCTGCTCGTGTAAATCATCTCGAGGCCGTTAGGAAGCGGGAACGCTCTGGCCGGATTCTGCGATCAGCTGGAGCCCCTCCCCCGCCGCCCTTCCTCCCCCTCCCTCCCCCCCCCGACCCCCTCTCCCACCACGGAGGCCGGAGCGGAGCTCGTTAGGAGCTTCGCATTCCTGCGGGATTGTGCGCCCGCCCTGTAGTGCTCCAGAAAGGGGGAACGACCCCCACCCCCACCCCCAGCGCGAGCTCCTAACACCCGCAGTATTTTTTTTTTTTTTTTTTAACTCAGCCGTTGCACGGCAGAAAGACAAAACTTCAGCTTCAGTTCAGTCTGGCTGTGTCTCTCCCAACGACTCAGGGCCTCCGCGCGTCACTGAGGCAGCTGACTCGGGGTTAGCTGCTGTTGCCACCTGTTATTTGCTGGGTTCTTAAAACGCCTTTTCATGAAACTGCTTAAGTGCGACCCTGCAATCTCACAACCTAGCGATAAACGTGTCCCTCCACTATCTGTTAAGTTTGCTTTTTTTTTTTTTTTTTTTTTTATTCATTGTCTTTGCAAATACACGCGGTCCGTCCCGTTTGGTGCCTTCAGCCAAGCAGAGTTGTTAAAAGACAAGTTAATTTTCGCGGTCTGCAGACCCTGAGCAGGCAGAGGTTTCAAAGGGCACAAACTTGGGAAAGAGGAGAGGGGGCTGTAGCAATAAGTGTAATTGCTGTTATTGGTACCAGGCCTGTCAAAAGGTGGAGGAGGGAGGTGTTTGTTTCATCCCGACAATTGCTTAGGTATGGTGTGATTCCCCCCTCAGGTGCTGGGCCGGGTGGGTGGGTGGGTGGGGGCGGGGAGGCTGACTCACATAGTCATCACATCTCTTTTGCTTTCAGCCCAGCAAGAGCAGATATTTATAAAACTTGCAGGCTGCTGGGCTCCAAACACTGCACTGGGGACCTGTAATCATCTCGTTGCATCTCAGGTCTGAGGAGCTCCGGCTGCTGAAGAGGGAGTTAACCGTTGTCTTTTCAAGGGCCAGCCATCTTGTGTTGAGTTTAACAACGTTAGCGGGAGAAGGATAATTGTCCCAGGTATGAGGAGAGGTAGCTGGCAGGGCTGCTTTGGTTTCTGAGCACTTTGTGCAAGTCAGCACGATCCCCCCCCCCCCTTTCCCCACGGTAAGAAGCCACTTTTATTTCCCTGGGTGATTTGGAATGAAGTTACCCCGGAAAGATCAGACAGTGTTGTTTCTGTGGACTGGTTGCCGATTTAGACCTCCCTGGTTGGGGAGAGTAGGAATGATACAGACTCAGAGCCTGGTTATCCTGATGTATCTCCTCGGGTCAATAGCCATTTATCACCAACAAACGCAGTATCTAACCTACCCTACTTGTGACTATCAGTTAAAATCGTTAGAAAGTACTTGCTTAGCAGGCGGCCCCTGTCCACCAGCTGGAAGGCTGCAGATGCCACCAGAGTCGAGCCTCCCTCCCCTCAGCGTCCTTTACAGCTTAGTTTGTGACTAGAGTTCATGTGATAACTAACTTCCACGGTGGATCCTGCCTCTGGGGTCTAGCCAAATTCAGGTTCCCTGGGCCACTGTCAAGTTTACCTTTGTCTCAGAATAAGTGATCTCTTACCCACTTTGGGATGAGACTTTAGAGTCTAGGGGACAGAACAAAACACTAACTCACTGAGCCCAGGGGTCTGAGACAGGGTTTCTCTGCATAGCCCTGGCTGTCCTGGAACTCACTCTGTAAACCAGGGTGGCCTCAAATTCCCAGAGATCCACCTGCCCCTGCCTCCCAGTGCTGGGATTAAAGGTGTGCGCCAGCCTGGCTACTTCCAACATCTTGTATCTTCCTTGTACTTCATAGTTTCTGAAACATTTAAATACTCTCATGTAACATCCAGCTTGTCATATAAATTACATTTTTTCTTAAAGCGGAGATAACTTAAACAACATCCAAAATGTGACATAGCTAAACGAGATAAAATGAGGAGTTGGGCATAGATTCCTTGGGTCTCAAGGAAATCCTGTCATTCTGGAAGGTCCCAGTTTGACCTAAGATCAATGACACACAAGATCTCGATGCTGGAAGTTACTAGATCTCCACCCCATCTGCTTTCTGTGTATATGTGGTGGTAGGTGTGCATGTGCTTCACATTGGGAAGCCAGAGCTGGTGTTTTATTCTGCCCTTTTCAGCCTAAACCCCTTGAGGCTGGGATGAGCACTGGGGGCTGGGAGGGTGGGTGTCCCTCCTTGAACCTGGTTTGAGGGTTCTGCAGTCAGGTTCTCTGGATCAACCCATCAACTCCGGGGTTAGAGGCACCAACGACAATGCCTTGCTTTCATGTAGGGAGGCGAGGGAATTCTAACTTTAACGCTGTGGGGATGGGACGCCAGGCCTCACTCATACTAGGATGGGTACTCTACCTCTGTACCCTCTAGCTAGCTCTGCTCACCCTGCCTCTGTGCTCGCTTCCTTTGAAGGCACTGAGTCCCCAAAACCCAGGAACAGCAAGCAGCAGGCACTGCCTGAGAAGAACTAATGATTCTCAACCTTCCTGATGCTTTGACCCTAATACAGTTCTTCATGTTGTGGGAAAGAATTATTTTTGTTGCTCCTTCATGACTGTAATTTTGCTGCTGTCATAAATCACAATGTAAATATCTGATATGCAGGATATGTGATGTGTGACCCCTGTGAAAGGGCGGTTCGACCCCCGAGGGGATCCTGACCCACAGGTTGAGAACTGCTGAGCTGGGGAATTGCCCAGGACTTCCTGCCCATCACAGGGGGAAAGAGATGAGGACCAGTGGCACAGAGCACATCCTACCCCAGCCATCCTCAGAAGCATGAGTTCCAGGTGAGCCTGGTCTACATAAGGAGCTCAAAGACAGCCAGAGCTACATACAAAGCAGGAAAGATTGGCCCAGCTACTTAGGATGAGGCAGGGGGATGGCTTGAGCTGAAACTGAGGCCGAGTCTGGACAACATAGTAAGATTCTGTACAAAAGTTAAATGCATAAAGCTAACGCTATTTTTACTTTAACAAAAACAAAATTCATTTTAATAAAAACATGGAATGTAGGCCAGGCAGGGTTGTCACACATCTCCATTCACCATACTTGAAAGGCAGAGGCAGGTGGATCTCTGTGCATTCAAGGCCAGCCTGATCCACATAGTAGGTTTCAGGACAGCCAGGGCTATCCCCTCCCTGGATCCCTGAAAAGAATGTTTTTGTTTTGTTTTTTAATGCAGGGAAGTATATTCTAATGGTGCTGTGAGGAGTACAGCACCATGTTCAAGGAGGCACAAAGAGCTGTATGATGTTGGAGTAAGGAAAGACTTTCAGGTGAGAACCCAGAAATAGAGACGTAAATATGAATGCATTTCTATCATGTGGGTGTGGGACATGGGAGAGGCCTGTGTGACATTGAGGACACTGTCCCCTTCCACCAGTAAGCACTCCACCTACTACTGAGCCAGCGCAAGGCACACATTTTGGTGAGCAATTCACTTTTAAAAAATTATGTCGGATAGAAGGGGAAGGTACAGAATGTTTTAAAAAGCAGAGCCAGGCCAGCCATGTGGTACATCTTATAACCCAGCACTCAGGAGGCTGAGGTGAGAGCACTTGAGGCCAAGACAGCACGGACTGTATAGTGAGACCTTGTTCATTTTCCCAGATGCAAGGAAACCAGGGTAAACAGTCACAGCACAGGTGGACACAGACTTAGTTGGAGAAGGCGCCGTACAGCTGCAAGCAAACACAGTCTGGTGCTAAGGGAGGAAGGGCTGCAGATGGTTGGCTGGGTGCGGGCTCTCGCTGCTCTCAAAGAGGACCTGGTTCAGCTCTTAGCACATTTATCACAAGGCTTAGAGCTGCTCAAGTCCAGCTCCATAGGATCTGATGCCCTCTTCTGCCTCCTCAGGCAGTGGGAGACATGCATGTTCACGCACACATGCGCACACGCGCGCTCGCGCACGTGCACACACACACACACACACACACACACACACACACGTGCACATTGTAAAGACAGCACAAAGTCATTTTCCATAAAATGTTTGATTTCCTACATATCTTGGGATGAGTCTGAAGTGAATATTAAGGGTGGCTACCTCAGGAGGTGGGAGGCGGGAGGCGGGAGGCGGGAGTGTGGCCGGTACCACACCCTCAAGTCACGTCACTGCAGTGACCGACTAGGAACCCACTGTATGTGTTACACGTTGTGAACCTGGTTCTTTATTGTAGATCTGTGCAGTCTCCTGAGCGAAGATCTGACACGAGACTGTTGTATTTAAGGCTTTCCAGTCAGGGTTCTCTATCCTAGAGCCAGGGTGGTTAACCATTAGCTGGTGCGCACCCCTGAGGGCATTGGGGACTAACTATTCATTGCCCCTTCCCGGAAACAAGAGCAAGTGCTGTCATAGCCTGCAAGTAGATGACCAGATGTGGAAAAAAGATTAAAAAAAAAAAAGTGTATCTTGAGTCAGATGGTTTTTATAGAACAAGAATTGTGATGTGTGAAAATAGGGCCATGTCATTTTCATCAAAAACATGAATAAATGTGTGGGTAAAATTAGTGTACTCCTCGAAAGGAAGAAACTTAGTTAACAGAAGGTTTTCCAGTCCAGTGGTGTGTTTGTAAGCGGGAGTGATCAATTGTCTCCACAGGCTGTCCTGTAAAAGCCAAGGCAATTCCTTCTTATTTTCTTCTGGATTTTTCGAGACAGGGTTTCTCTGTGGCTTTGGAGGCTGTTCAGGAACTCACTCTATAGATCAGGCTGGCTTCCAACTCACAGAGATCCTCCTGCCTCTGCCTCCCAAGTGGTGGGATCAAAGGTGTGCGCCACCACCATCTGGCCCTTTATATTTTCTTGAAAGACAGAAATACTTTTTCCCTTCCAAGCTACATGAATAAATGTTGTTTGTATATTTATTTAATTACTTAGTGTGGGGGTTGAACCCAGTTCCGCCCCCGTTCTAGGCAAGCACTGGCCATTGACACCTCAAACTTAATAAAATTGATTTAAAACTGTAGCGTCAGCACTTTCCCGCGGTGACGACCTCCCTACGAGAGCATACCTCTTGCAAAGCATCTCCTTCATCCGCCTCCAGAAGAGGAAAAGAGGAAACACAAGAAAAAGCGCCCAATCCCTGCTTTACGGATGTGAAATGCTGTATAATCACCACGGTCTTCAGCCGTGCGCAAACGGTAGTCTCCTGTGCTGGCTGCTCCGCTGTCCTTGTCAGCCCACAGGCGGAAGAGCACAGCTGTCAGGAAGAAGCTCCATCAAGGGGAAGCAGCCCTGAACAGCACCTGATTCAGGTGGAGTGGGAACCATCCCGATACACACACACACACACACACACACACACACACACACACACACACAGTGGCATCAGCCGGGCCTGGCATCTATTACATATTATTTACTTTATTTGATGTACAAAGGTTGGTATATTCTACTTTTACATTTTGAAGGCCTTCTAACATATTTAGAGAGTACCAACATACATGTATTTACTGGTTTTAAAGAGAACAGCTCATTTCCTTTTTAGACTCTCATGCATCCCAGGCTGGCCTGAAATGCCCTAGAAGGATGAGGAAGGCCTTAAACCTCCGATCCTCCTGCTCCCCATCCCCACCCCCAGCGCTGGGGTTGCTTTACTGTGCCTGTTTCTTTTAATGTGGAGCTAGGGATCAAGTTCAGGACTCTGTGCATGCCTGCGAGGCAAGCACTCTACTAAGTAAGCTACATTGTTTTTTAATTATGTGCCTATGTGTGTGGGGGGAGGGTACTCGAACAAGAGTGAAGGTGTCCTTGGAGATGGCAGTCATGAGCCAAGGTGCAAGCTGGGACTGAACTTGGAGCCTCTGCGGTGCTCAGTAAGTACAATCTTAACTGGGGAACCGTCTCTCCAAATCCTTTTCCTTTTTTTTTTTTTTTTCTTTAAATTAAGAATGCTGTTTTTTATGTGTGGATGTCTTGCCTGCCTGTATGTCTGTATCCCATGTGCGCCTGGTGCCCTCGGAGAAGAGGACTTTGGTTCTTCTGGGACTGGCTTATAGCGGGTTCGTGCGGTCCGTGCTTTTAACTGCGGAGCCGGTTCTCTAGCCAGCCACCCTTCTTGCTTTTAGGAAATCCTAAAGATAGCCAAGTGACTCTGTCATTCCTAGGGTGTTTTTGTTTGCTTTTTAACTTCTTATGCACAGGTCTCCTTTTCCTCTTTGGGCCCCATAGTAGCTCAGGATGGTGTGGGAATTCACTATGAAACCCAGACAGACACTGGCCTTGAACTAGTGACAGACCTCCTGCCTGGTCCTGCAGGGTGCAGGGGTTATGATCGTGTAACGCCACACCTGTGTCTCTGCTTTGTGCAAGTGCTCTACGCATTGAACTACCAGACCGGCCCAAGAGCTGTTGACTCTTGAGCTGACTCCCTTCACCTACATCCTCACTTTGTTCTTTTATTTAAATATAAATCCCAGACATCGTACGACTCGTGGATCAGCCTTTATGATCAGTGTTCTAGCTTGCCTGATGGGTAGCTCTGTACTCTGTATCCAAAATGACTTACAAACAGGGCCAGGTAGTCCCAGAGTTACACACTCTATTGTCTTTTCCTAGGTGTTTTCTGCTTCTAGTTTCTTCAGAGAGAACAATTACATTTTGTCCTTAGTTGGTACTTTAATGCTCTTAGTTCTGGTAGCCCATTACTTAGGTCAATAAAGAGATAAAATTCCTCTTTGGGCAGGCTTATTAGACATTCATTTCCATTCTTTCTGCTGGCACTCGGACACACTGCCTGCCCGTTTTGTTCTGTTTTGCCCTGTTGTCTGGATGAAACACATTCACATCTCTACACACTTCGTTTTTTTCCCTTTCTGGTGCTGGGAATTGGACAGTCAACTCTGACCAAATGCTCCACAGGAAGCAATTAGGGAAGAAAAAATGATTTTGTCTCATGGTTTTAAGTGGGCATGGGCACCCTCTCAAGCAAATATATGTGTTTAAAAAGACAAAAGCCTTTCTTTTTTTCCTCCCTTCCCTGTTTTCTGTGAAGCACACAGATAATGGGGAGGGGGTCCCTCAGGCATGTGGGGCGGGGGATTGGGCGGAACAACTTTCCCGAGTCTCTCCTCTCCCTCCACCTTGTTTCTGGGACAGCCTCTCCTTTTGCTTCGGCTCTGAGTACTCCAGGCAGGCTAGGCGGTCTGCACATTTTGGGCTGATTCTCCTGAATCCATCTTCCGTCCCTTCACAGGAGTGCTGGGATTATAGGTGTGCAGCATGGCGTTAGAGTGGGCTCTGGGGATCAAATTCAAGTCAAGCTGGTGCACCAAGCACTTTTGTCCATCAAGACATCTCCCTAACTCAAGAGGGGAATCTGCATTAAACGGAAAGAAATTACATTTTGGACACAGGGTCTCACTGTACAGCCCTGGCTGACTGGCCCGGAACTCCCAGAGATCAACCTGCCTCTGCCTCCTGAGTGCTGGGATTAAAGACGTGCACCACCATGCCTGGCCTCCAGCTCATAATTTTGAACACTAATATAATTTCAGCCATACAGAAAGATTTAAGAATAGTACAAAGAAATCCCATATACTCTTTACCACCCAAATTCTACAGTATGGTCCATGATTTTCCACACACACAAACCATACACGGATGCACACACACATAACTACTTTTTAAAAAGACTTACTATTTTCCTGGCCAGCGTGGGCAGGCACAGTTGCCTGAGATGAAACACCCAATGTGGATGCTGGGAACTGAACATGAGTCCTCTGGAAAAGCAGCAAGCTCTCTTTACCATCGAGCTTTTTCTCTAGCCCCTATGCAATCCTTATTTTCTTTTCCTTGAATAATGTGATGGTCTATTACAGATACACTGTCCATTGGCTACTAAAGACCTCAGTGTGTGTCCTAGGAACACGGCATCTCCTTATGTAACAAACTTAAGACCTGAACACCATGGCTTCCAAACTGCCATCTAACACACCAACTGTTTATATTTTTATAGCTGTCAGATGATGTCCTTCATCAGAAACAAACTTTCCTAAGTTCAAATAAGGATCAGACATTGGTTGTGTTTGGCTGACCTCTCTGGCTGGCTTTCCTCCCTCCCTACCTCCCTCCATTTCTTTCTTTGAGACAGGGTTTCTCCGTGTAACCCTGGCTGTCCTGGAATTCATTTAATAGTCCAGGCTGTCCTTAACTCAGATCCTCCTGCCTCTGCCTCCCAAGTGCTTGGGTTAAAGGTGTACACAACCATTGCCTGGCTTCTCTGGCTTTTTAAAATCTGAGTTACTTTGTATTTGTTTTTTAGTAACCTTGGCATTTTTAAAAAGTAAAGGCCTTCCTCTGTTTTAGAGTCCCTCTCTCATGTAGACTGAAGCTGTGCATTTTTGACAGTCACATTTCAAAACTGACCCCATGCCCTTGTCAGTGCAGATGTGCATGTGATTTTAGTATTGACTTCTTTTGTTAACCTCAGTCACATGGTTGAGATGATGTCTCCCAAAACTCTCCACCCTGGGTGTTATTTTTTCCTCTGTGGTTGACAGGATGTCCTGTCCTTCAGCCCTTCATCCTGTGCCTCCTTGCTGTCTTTCCTTCTCCATCTTTCTGCTGTGCTCTATCTACAGTGGGGACAGCGTCCCCTGCAGCTGACTGTGCTGCATTGTTTACTTACAGGAGCATGGGATGTCTGGAATTCTGGTCCATTCGGTGCATCAGTAGTACAATTATTACTATTGTAAAAATTATCAGATTTACCCAGAGGGAGCTCCTCACCCTTCAATCTCTCCTCTCCCCTACAAATTCCTTTATCATGTTTGTGTCTTTTTCTTAAGGTTTTAAAAGATTTATGCATGTGTGTTTTGCCTGAATGTGTGCGTGTGTTCCGTGTGTGCCTGGTACCCTCAGAGGCCAGAAGAGGGCATTGGATCCCTGGAAACTGCAGGTAGGGTGGCTGTGGGCCACTATGTGCATGTGAGGAAGGGACCCTGGGTCTCTCAGAGCAGCCAGTGCCCTTAACCCCCCAGCTAGCCCTCCCTCCAGCCCACACACGCCTTTTTATTGTGTCTTGTGACCCACTGAGTTTAATCACAGTGGTTCACGCCACCTAGGGCAAGGTTCTTCACTGAAACTGGCAGACCCCCCAGTGGGCACAAAAGTGACTCCCCTACCCCAGTCAGCAGCGTCCATTAGCCAGTTGTCCCCCGAACTGGTCTCCTTACCCGTCTCTACCGTTCTTGGTTTTTTCTTTTGTTTTTGTTTTTTGAGACAGAGTTTCTCTGTGGTTTGGTAGTTGTCCTGGAACTCACTCTGTAGACCAGGCTGGTCTTGAACTCACAGAGCTCCACCTGCCTCTGCCTCCCAAGAGCTGGGATTAAAGGCATGGGCAACAACACCTGGCCGGTCTTAGAAGATCTTCCTATTGTCTGGTACACTAATATGTTTCAGGTACATGTTACATTTTCCATTTTCCCTGCTCCAGCCCCCAAACCCTGGAACTGGTCATTTTCCCAGCAAGCCCTAGCTATTTGCAATGGGAAAGATTCATTTGTAGACACCAAGTTGGGCTCAAGGCTGGTGCATTGCTCATGGACCATCATTGCTTCTGGGTTTCTTGAAGAAGTTAAAACTCACACACACACACACACACACACACACACACACACACACACACACACACCACACACCATACACACATCATATACACATACACACACACACACACACACCACACATACACAGACACATGCACAGACAGACACACACACCTTCAAATGTTGAAAATCAATAATTCAAACAGGGTGTGTGATAAAGAGCTATAGGGTTATAATTCCAGCACTAGAGGACTGAGGCAGGAAGATTGGGAGTTTGAGGCCATTCTGGGCTACATAGGCAAGAGCCTGTCAAAACAATCTGAAAAAATAAAGGGGAAAAAGGTATGTGTGTGTGTGTGTGTGTTTATGTGTGTGTATGTGTCTCTGTGTTCGTGTCTGTGTGTGTGTGCACATGAATGTGTGTGTGTGTCTATGTGTCCGTGTGTGTGCATGTGTGTGTGTGTCTGTGTGTGCACATGCATGTAAGTGTGTGTGGATGTGTGTGTTCATGTCTCTGTGTGTGTCCGTGTGTGTCTGTGTGTATGTGTCTGTGTGTGTCTGTGTGTATGTGTCTGTGTGTGTCCGTGTGTATGTGTCTGTGTGTGTCCGTGTGTGTGTGTCTGTGTGTGTGTGTCTGTGTGTGTCTGTGTGTATGTGTCTGTGTGTCCGTGTGTGTCCGTGTGTGTGTGTGTGTGTGTGTGTGTGTGTGTGTGTATAAAGGGAGAGAGCGGGGCATACATTTATTCTGATACTTTCAGTTTCAGTCCAACACCACAGCACTTAGCCCCTTTCCTGCTTCTGATACCTGTGCCTCTCTTTTCTAACAGTGAGAAGCCTGCTTCCCACTTCCTCCAGGTAATGAGTACTTAGTCCTAGAACATGGCGGTGGGTGGCGGGTCACTGCAGAGAGCATCGCTACCACTGATAATCAACTCCTTTTTGTTTCCTCCTTTTGCTGTGAGCGTTGAGATCAAAACACCCCTACTTCAGACTTACTTCCGTTAGCCCCGCCTTCCACACTCTTCAACTGACTGTTACTCTTTTGAAATACTCCTTAGCTCCATGTTGTGCCCTCTCTAGAGCATTCTTCCCGCTCTACAGTTTTCCTCTTGTGTTGCTAGATTTAGCACAAGTCCGAAGTCTTCACTGAGTGGAAGGCTCACCAGCAGTGCAGTCAAGCGCACAGATTCCGCAGGCCCTCCAACAGGGTTACTGCTGGAAGCAGGGGGATCATGAGCTCGAAGTCATACTGCTCTACACAGAGGGCTCAATTTCTGTCAGTAATAATAATGGTAATAAATGTTAGAAAATGCTTTATATCCGGCTACAGAGGTCTTATTTTTACAGCAGTATACTAATGTTACCAGAACTTTTAGAGTCAAAGCCTAGGCTCTAGCAATCCTAATAACGTAGGTTGGCCACCGGTCCATGTCCACCATAAGCCAAATAAAAAGACAGAGAGAAACGCAGAGAGAGAATATTTCTCCCAGTGGCTACACTGGGAAAAGGAGCAAGTAAAGAGGTCCATCTTCAGGGGACTGATGTTTAGGCTTAAACAGAGGTCAGGAGGACTGCATACCTAAGTGTTCCTGGTCAGGGTGTGTCTCTAGAATCACTTGGCCTGTCATTGTCTTGGCTCCGATCTGTCTTGCAAGGTGGGCTGACAAGCAGTCCAATTGTGAAACTTCTTCCTGGATTACAAATTCTTCCTCTTGCTGGCCTCGGGTGTCACAGTCCTAAGGTAAGATCCCTGGGGGTATTTCCTTTCTTTGGGATCTGTTGTCTCCATTGTCAGAGCTACAGGGAGGTGCTCAAGTGTCTCTTTAGAAAACCTTCACTGCTCCCAGTGTGGCTACAGCATCCCACCACCCGACAGACAGCAGGTTCGCTCTTTCTTACCTTTGAACATTTGGACCAGACCACAGTGCTGTGCTGAACAATAGCATTTTCATATTACTGCAGGTGCACCTTTGGGAAAGCCTCTTGGCTTTGTCAAAAGTAAGTGCCTGACGCCAGTGCACTGGTAAGACGGCCTTAGATCCCCAAAACTCACAAGGTAGATGGGCAGAACCTACTCCCCCCCATAAGTCATTTCACACACACAGACACACACACACAGACTCACACAGACTCTCTCACACACACACAGACACACACACACACACAGACTCACACAGACTCTCTCACACACACACAGACACACACACACACAGACTCACACACACAGACTCTCTCTCTCTCTCTCTCTCACACACACACAGAACAAATATGGGGTGGTGGTAGCCACAACCTAGCAAGCACCACCACCTCTAATTGGGGCGGAGCTGTATTAAGGGTCAATGCGCTAGGAAGGCTGATAAGTACTGCACTAGACAGATGGGTGTACAGGGTGAGGAACTCAGAGAGGAGTCAGAGCCCCTGCTCCCTGGGTGCATGGTCC